TCTGGGTCAAATGAGGATCCAGTGGGCCCAGGGCAGTCTCACTCACACACTGGTCCTGCGCTCTGGGTCTATTCAGGATCTGGTGGCCTAGGCAGTCTCACTCCAGGATAATCCACTTCATGCCTCCAAGAGAGGCCCCCAAGCCTGGGGAAGGTGGAGTGCAGGAGGCGAATGCTGTCAGTTTAATGGTTCTCACCTGTCTGGCCCTGCCCCTCAAGCCACACACTTCTCGAGTAGCTACTGCCCCAGATTTACATGAGACTTTAGGGGGACGACTAGATACAAACCATAGCATTCCACCCCTGAGCCCCCAAAGTCTCTTGTACATCCCTTTGTGCAAAAGACATTTTAGTCCATCTCTAAGAGTTGCCAAAACAGTTTCAACATTGCTGAAAAGTCCCAGGCCCAAGTCTCCTCCATGATCCAAGGTAAACTCTTAGCTGTGAGCCCCTGTACAAATAAAAAGTTAAATACATCCAACATTCAAAGGCACAAGATAAACATTGCATTCCAAAAGGTATGCACAGGAGGGGCCAAAACAAGCCCAAAATCCAGCAGGACAAACATTAAATCCTGCAGGTCCTTGTGGAACATCCAAAGCAAATGTGGCAAATTATGAGCTCCATGTGACTCGGCCCCTGTGGCACTCTTGGTGGTAGCTCCCATGGCTTCTCTCTTAGGCCGGCTTTGCTCCTTCCTTGCAGTTTCCCTTAGATGATCCACATTCCTGGCTTTTCCACACTTCTGGGGTTTCCATTGAATAGACTTCTCACCCACAGCTTCACACACTGCCCTCTCAGGAGCACACTGCCTGGCCTCCCAGGCCTTCTTCTGAAATCGAGGTAGAAGCCCTCTGAACCTCAGAACTCCTGCATTCTGAATGCGCCTAAAACATGCACCGCATTGATGATGCCAAGGTCTGCTGCCAGCTGAAGCAGTAGCCAGGCTTTCCTCTCTCTTGGCTGTAGGGGTTGAGGGGCTAAATTGCTGAGCACTACGACCTTGATTCCGAGGAACAAATTCTCTATACTGGTGCCATTCTGGAATCTGGTGTGACCACTGCCACCATTCAGCAACTTGGTGTGGCCTCTGTCTCCATTCTGGAACGTGGGCTCTGCAGATTTCTCCTCAAAGCAAAGTCCCTCACTCTTGTGATTCTGAGGCTGCGAAGGGTGAGAACCTGCCACCTCCTGTGATGCCCTCAGGACATCTTTTTTACTCTCTTGTTCCTTGTGGGAAGTGGAGATCTTAGCTCTATCTTTGCAGTCCACAGCCTTCCTAGTGCTTCCTTTCTGGCTAAACTCACA